CGGGCCCACAACTATCCCCGCTCTCTCTCCACGGCCTCCTCACCTTTCCAACGTTAGCTGCTGCCCAGACGTCTCCCGAAACGCATTTTCCAAAAACACGCACCAAACGCCCGCGTATTTTTCCACTGACAATAAAAATGACTGGACAAGCGAGTGCAAAAATATCTATAGCTAAAATTTGAGCGTCGGAAGTGCCGCCTTGTGAACTGGTTTTGCTCGGGCAGTCCGTGAATTTTGGAGGCCCCGAGGTGCAAATCTGAGCCCTTTGGTTGGTGGTGCCTTTGGTCTCTGTTTCTGAGCATCAGTCAAGGATATGCACACAGAGCACACAATTAAGGATATGCACACATACAACAAAGTATATACTGTCAATGAAAGGATACTGGTACGATAAACCGACTCTGTCCGCCCATACCGTTGAATCCACATGCAAAGTTCTGCACAATTAGGGAGAGAAAATCACACATAAAAACTTCGCAATGAATGGCTTTTTTATTGAAATTTTAATACCTCTGACCCTTCCTTCTTGATGACTTTATTTGGTAGGACAACTGCCGGGTTTTCGCTCTGCCTCTTGGAACCAATCTTCTATATAATATACACAGTGATATACGTACATAGACAGTTAACACCATAGGGGTTAGGGTGTCTTACCAGCACTGGATGTGATGTAGAGGTAGACGGCCTCTCCACTACGTCCCTCCAATGCTACCACCTCTCTCTCTCTGTGGAGGCAGAGAGAGAAGTTGCATTATCCGAAGTCGTAATGTGGTCAGTGGTTGTGTTGCTCACTGCTTGCGAGAGATGAAGAGCGGACTGGCTCCCAGATCAGCAGGAACCATCCGCCCAGATGGATCAGGCATTGGGCTGACAATGGACAAACATTTTACATTGTATTTCTGCAAGAAAATGAATTCCGATCCATTGTTTACCTTTCCAAGATCCGGCGTAGTGCAACCTTTGACCCTGGTGACTCGAGCGCCCTCTCAAGCATCTCCACCTTCTTGGCGAGTCCGTCTCTCTCCTTCTCTGCAGCGTGGAGGTCAGTCTCCATCATGGAGAGCTGGGATCGAGTCGACTGGAGCTCCTCTCCTTTGCTCTGCACCTGAGGACAGAGTGCAGCTTCAACACAGTGCGACTCACATAGGGTCATGTGTGTGGAAGATATAAGAGAGTTAAAAAGTTTGTTTAAATTTTGGGAGATTCTAAAACCATTTGTTATTCTAACACTGGAATTTACGCCACACTTATATAGCACATGAGATTCCATTTTAGTCTTCGTGTCGGTATGCCTCTCGCCTTTCTCTTGAGGTAGGTGATCTCCTGAGCTAGTTTGTCCTTCTCCTTCCTGACAGAGGCCTTGCTGGCCTTCAAGGCGTCGTAGTCCCTCCTCAGTACTGCCAGGAAGGAGGCCAGCTGGGAGGTGGACTGGTAGTTCTTCACCAGGGTGTCCACTTCCTGCTGACTACAGGTGAGCACCTTCTGAATACTGTGGGAGAGAAGGGAGAGAGAGAGTGTGTGGGTGGGGGGACCTTATTCCTTCGTGAGGAACCTAATGGTGCTATATACACACAATTTACTAGCTCTCAGAACAGACGATACCCCTCCATCGTGGACAGCTTCTCTCTCAGTTGCTTTGTCTCTTTCTTGAGCTCTTCCGTCAGCTCACATTCATACTGCAGCACCTCCAGTTGACTCTGAAACACACACACACACACGTGTGAGTGATTGGGGGTCATATTTTCGTGGCATATACCTTTAGTGTGGAGTTGGCTGCCTTCTCTGCCTTCAGTTTCTTGTGGACTGCGTTGTGCTGTGTTTGCCAGGCCTGGACTTCTTCTCGTATCTGCTCCAGAGTTGCTCTTGCCTCCGACAGAGCCTGGTCTACAGTAACAGTAGGGCACAATACCAACACACCCTGACCAGCTACCAGTGGTGTGGTGCGTATGTATGTGATGCTTGGGGAGTCCTACCTTTGTGTTTGAGAAGGTTTTGATGGAGTTCAAGTTTTTCCTGTGAGAAGAATAGAGGTTGTACATACTCTCTGGCTACTGTATATGTTAAGTAGAACTCAGCTCTTTAAAGACAGCCTGAATGAGGGAAACTTTCAAGGACCCATTTCTTTTCAAAAGAATAGTTCAACACTGACATTAGGAAACTACTAAATTTAACACTTTCTTCTGTCCTATTGGTTGTCTGGATTAGAGAGGTTCCGCTGTATAATGGGTTTTGGGTACCTTGAGTTCCTGGGGACCCAAAGTGCCGTTGTCTGCCTGAAGAGATTCAGTCGAGTCATCGATGAACAGTTTGATGACATTTCTCGGGAGGCAGCGTTCGCGGCACTGTGGACATGTCTTCTGATGGGCCAGCCACTGAGACAGACTACCAGGGGGAGAGGAAGAGACTCGTGCTTCTTCTGTGAGGCAACAGAGGCGCACGGGCCTACCATGTGTAGTGAAAAGTATGCCCACCTGGAAGATAGTGACAATGTGGTTCAACTTATCACATGATACGGAAGAGCTTACATGGCGCCGCTGAAAAGTCGTTACTTATGGAGTCTGTACAAATGGTACAGACTATCCTCATGCTCACACCACCGTCAGCAAGTCTCGGTCGGTTCTCTTACAAAAAGCTGGCATCTGGCTCTTAGTGCGGGTTCTTTTCCCGCGCACGTTTCAAAGGAATTTAAAATTTTCTTGTTGTGTCGCGTTTTCGGTCAATTAGGTAAACCACCCGTGACCATACGGTAGCAACCGTTATGCGCATGCGTATTCCTCCGCCATCGCCTCGTTGTATATTTCGGATATCGGTGTGTGTGGTTGGGCGGATTTTTTTGCCATGTCTCGCGAACCAGGTCGTGTGTATGTGGGCGATCTTGGATCTGGCGGGTCCAAACCAGAGCTGGAGAGGGAATTTGAACGATATGGTCCGCTGAAGAGCGTGTGGGTAGCGAGAAACCCCCCTGGTGAGTGTCCGCCATTTTTTGTGACACCTCCGGCCATTTTCTTTCTCCGTCTCTAGGGTTCGCCTTTATCGAGTTCGAGGACCCTCGCGATGCGGAGGACGCCGTGAGAGACATGGACGGCCGGTTCGTGTGCGGCGTCAGAATCCGAGTCGAATTGGCGAAATCTAACAGCCGGTACGTGTCACACAAACTATTGCGTGTGTTTCGGTATACTTTTGATCTTGCCTTCCTACTACCCACAGGCCTGGACAGAGGGGTGGAGGGTACAGGGGAGGTGACAGGGGAGGCGACAGGGGAGGTGATAGAGGAGGTGATAGAGGCCCGCCACCACCACGCTATGGTGGTCGAAGGAGCCCTCCCTACCGTAGGAAAAGCAGGTACACACTAAATATGACGTGTCAGTTTGTTTATTTTACGTGTGCACAAGTTGTTTTTGTGTTGTTGAAGCTAATGTTGTCTTTGCAGGTTGTCCATTGCGCGGCCTGCACTCACGCATCACACAACCAACAATAGTGTCCTCTCTCTCCCCACTCCTGTTTTCTTGCATCCCTGCGTGTGATTTTCCAACGTCGCAACCCAGCGCTATCTGCTAGTGTTTCACTTCGCCTTCTCACCCTCAGCACCCCTCCCTAAACTCCTATCTGTCTCCCAAAACACCCTCCCTACCTACCTCCGCTTTTCCACGCTTCTCTTCTCTCCTGTGCTGCATTTCACAACCACCCTACGCATCAGGCTTCTATCGTCACACACTGCATCCACCCATCCACACATCCGCCCTCCGCCATGCATCTCTCTCTCTCACCATAGCCTGTGGGTAGACGATTCATGTCTTTTGCATGCTCGTCTCAATCATTGCAGTGGTAAGTACTGGAGCTCGGTTTTTTTAGATGTTTAGCCAGTAAATTTTAAGGGGTCCCTACCACATTTGCAGTGTTAACAGTTGCTACATATGCTGTGTATATATACCTGTGTTTGACAAGCACAACTATTGTTTTATCCAGCAGGAGCAGATCTCGAAGCCGTTCACCGTACCGAGGCCGTGGCTCCCCCAGCCCAAGGTTTGCTCCATTTAACTGTCGGTGTGTTTGCAAAGCTCCGGAGCATGTGTGGTGTGTCCCGCACGGTCAATGTGTCTTCTGGCCCTCTGCGAATGGCGACCGTTTCTGTTCCCTCTAGGTCACGTTCTCCCTATTATCGGTCACATTCACCGTACTGACATTGTTCCTATAGCCCTGGCAGGCACACCTTGTCTCTGCTATTAGCTATAGAATAATACGTGAAGGCATGTACATGTTCTTTAGCTAGGTAAATTAGCGGTTTGCTTAGCTAGGTACTTTAGCCGTGTGCTGTCTTTCTCTTTAGGCTTAGAACATGCATTTAAAATGTGCAAGATGCTGTGTACTGCTAAGATTATGTGTGCTGTGTGAAATGAGCTGTTCCCCTCTGCTCTGCTAATAAACATACAGGAGGCGTTCGCCGAGTCCAGTGGGCCGTAGAGACCGCTCTCCACAGTACTGAAGACACTGCCCGGAGAGCCAAAACTCCAGAATTGACTCAGACCTTGTGCTGTAGCTAGAGCATTATTCCCCTTGCACAACTCATCATGTCTTTTCTATGCTTGCACCCCTCCTTCCTATGCACTGTTGCTTATATTATACTTCCCAACTGAAATGGTAGAAATCAAGCACGAAACGTTGAAAAAATGTGGCGGTGTGTCAGTTTGGTGACGTGGGATCAACAGTGTCTATAGACAGCTCCTGACAGAGGTCTGTCATCATTTGATGCAAACTTTGCAGTGAAAAAATCTGCAAAGAGAAACATGTTAGTGAAAGACTGAGGAATTGGAATATGTTTTGGGGTTCTTTAAGGCATATCTGGTGCGGTGGAAGTTTTTGGATTTACTCTTCTGCTGCATTCATGGCACGTACATCTTGGTCATTGATGGTGACATCATGCATCCTGGACAGGGGGAGGATCGGCATGTTGTATTGGCTGGCCAGATAGAATTTGGACGACGTGGGGTACTTGTGGGCAATGACACGATCAGCTACAGACAAAAACTGCTGGACTCGCTCCCTTCCCTCACTCGCCACGTCCCGATTGTTGCACAGCCCAGACAGGGACCCAGGGAAAGAAGTTAGCTATCACTCCACTAAACCCACTGCACAAGAAGAAGCCTTTTAGTGACCTAAACAGGATTATACACCACAGTCCTCACTTTCCTCCGTGACTCAGCAATGTGCTCAGAAACTGTGACTTGGCCGTGAAGAACCTGGGATTAAACAACCACAATAAAGTAGGGCAATTATTGCTGAGACGTAATAAAGCCTGAAAATTAGTTCTTTCAAAACGTGGCTGGTTGAGTGCTAGAAAGAGGTGACTGACTGACTTGAGGTTGGAGTGAGGGAGGGACTGTACAGCTGCCAGTTTTCTCAGCATGACCCCCTGTGTCCTCTGATGTGTCCTTGTGGAAGAGAAATCTCCCTGATCCGGCACACCAGGCCAGCATCCCTGGAGTCAGGGCCCTGATTACAGGGGCTGGGCAATCTAGACGCTCTCAAGACCACCAACACATTATTATGCACCTGACTTGCGGTAGAGGAGTCTCATAGAGTCCGAGTGGAAGGTCACCAGTCATGTCCATCAGTTTGCTAACATTCTCCATCCAAACGTCATCACTCTGGGTGGTGCAAATTTCACATGAATTTTTTTGCCACAGGTCTTGCGATGATACCATTAATATAGTGGAAGAAGTTTTGAGGGGGGGGAGCTAATCAGTGGCAAATTTTGTGAAGAAGAATGCTGTGCAAATCAGTCACAGCCAAAAATGTTGCAGAAAAACACAATTATTTTGGGAGCTTTCTCAATCCAAATTTTCTCGCTACGAGGTAGTGCTCAGCTAACCTCGTTCATGTCGCAGATCTGATTTGTGATGATCACCACTGCGTCCACGTACTTTCCGATCTCCTTCATCAGCTCCGCTTGCTCCTCCAACCTGCCTCCAAAAGTTGCTGAAAAACACACAACAACGTTCGAAAAAGATCTTTTTCCAAAGTCGGCTCAACCACTTCTCATATGTACCTCCTGCAACCACTGGTACATGCCCATCTGCTTTCTCTGCCACATGTCTTGCAATTTCAACTCTCTCCTCATTGCTCAGCTGTTGGTTGAAAGTTAGACGCATTTATTAATCGTCGAGATGGAGAGGAAGTCAACTTGCCTGGAACATTTCACTAGACAGACACACAGAGAAGAGCCCTGCACAGCCAGACTTGATGTACCAATCAGTCACCACTGTGGAAATGAAGTGACATGTTGAGTGTGTTCATTGCGTCTCTCCTCACAGTCTAAGGACCTCCAGTCCACTGATTTTGATGTGTCGTTGAGAAATGGCGTTATCATGGTTGGCCACACCCCGTCTGGCAGGCTCCTGCACTTCTCACCGCTACTGACAGTGGTGTAGCTGTTCTTCACGCTCTGCGTGAGCCCACTGAGCCTACAGTAACGGCGGGGAAGAAGCAAGTTGAGGTATAAACGTAGCAGCATCTCCCACAACCCTATATAGCTCCACTTTCGCGCATGCGCAAATGCAGTGAACAGTTCAAAATTTCGATCTTTTTCGTTGTATTGGAGAAGCGTTGTTCCGGAGTTTCTGCTGAGCCCCTTGCCACTTGCAGTCTGTGAGCTGAAGAGTTCCAAGTTTCCGTAAGCTCTCTACCTCGGAGATTAGATCCCTTCCGTAGTGGCAAAAGCGGTGCACAGCTAGCGGGCGTTGTGTGGGTACGCGCGATCTGCAAATCCGCGGTCTATGTGTGTTGGGTGGGGTCGTGGTTCTTGCAAAAGTTTGCTAGAGATAACTTCCTTGTTATCTTTCCCTCCTAGTCTCTTTTATCCTTATCCTGCCCCTGAGGTCGAGATAGCGAGCTGAACAGAAGATGTCTGATTCCAAGTACTTCACAACCACCAAGAAAGGTAGTGCACTCTAATTATTCCACACCCAGAGACCTGTCGTCCATGTGTCTGTATCGCCCCAGGTGAGATGGCTGAACTAAAAGCTGACCTCCAGAGTGACAAGAAGGAGCGGAAGAAGGAGGCCATCAAGAAGATCATTGCCAACATGACTGTTGGGAAGGATGTCAGGTGATCATCACATGATCGTCATGTGACCACACCTCCAATGATGCTCTTGTTTTCTCGGCAGTTCTCTGTTTGCGGATGTGGTGAACTGCATGCAGACAGACAACCTTGAGCTGAAGAAACTGGTCTATCTTTACCTCATGAACTACGCCAAGTCTCAGCCCGACCTGGCAATTCTGGCTGTCAACACCTTCTCTAAAGTCAGCTCCCTTCTCTCCCTCTCCCTTTCCACCTCACCATTTTATCTCTCTGCGTTCCTTCTTTCCATCTCCCTTCCCTCAGTCTTCATTTTCCTCTCCCTTCTTCCCCACCCTCTATGCCTCTCTCTTTCCTCTCTTTCTTTTCCTTACTGACTTACTATACCTGTGTTTCCCATCCATACATTAGGATTGTGAAGATCCAAACCCACTGATTCGAGCTCTTGCAGTGAGGACCATGGGCTGCATTCGGGTGGACAAGATCACTGAATACCTCTGTGAACCACTCCGCAAGTGCCTAAAGGTTATTTAACCCCTTAATCTCCCTCAAACTCCTCTTATTATTAACCCCTCTCTCCCTCCCTCAGGATGACGACCCCTACGTGAGAAAGACGGCGGCCGTGTGCGTGGCAAAGCTCCACGACATCAATGCCCAGTTGGTGGAGGACCAAGGATTCCTGGATCTCCTCAAGGACCTTCTGTCTGACTCCACCCCCATGGTCGTCGCCAACACCGTCGCCGCTCTGGCCGAGATTGGCGAGGTCTCATCCACTGGTACGAACAATGTGTGAGTCTGTGAATCGTGCATATAAGTGAAGTAGGAATGCAAAGTGAAAGCCAAACACTTTAAAGACGGACACGTGGGAATAGAGCGAGGCCACCTCCCAGAATGGACATTTTTTTTGCCAGATTTCAGAAACGTGCCACTATAATAGAGCAACAACAGTGTATATTGTATGTGAGTGAATGTTTGTAGTATGTACCCGAGATAGTGCTGTGTATGTGTATGCTGGGAGCTCAGTGTGTGAGTGTGAACGAATATTGTATGGTGTAGCTACGGCCCTGACTGACCTGGACACTTCCACCATCAACAAGCTGTTGACAGCTCTCAACGAGTGCACCGAATGGGGTCAGGTCTTCATTCTGGACTCACTGGCCGGATATGAGGTAAGACTACTACATACACTCGATAGATACAAAGTAAAAACTACTGGAAACTATATGATGGAAAAAGCCTCTACTGGATCGGTATATAGCAACTTCATGAACCGTACAGCTTATTACTCTTCATGTAAGAAGCTTGCTGTGTCTTCCTTCAACTGGGTGCTGTGGTGTAGATATGCCCACAGAAAATCTCTAAAGTTGTTCTCGGTGTGTCTCTTTAGTACATACATATGTTTTAGTGTCACTCGGAATTAGTTTTGGTCCCATCTATAGAGCTTTCTCTCTCTCCCTCTCTGTCTGTCTGTTGTATGTACTAGCCCAAGGATGACAAGGAGGCCCAGAGTATCTGTGAGCGGGTGACTCCTCGTCTTGCCCATGCCAACGCAGCTGTCGTCCTCTCTGCCGTAAAGGTTGGCCACTCGACTATAGTAACACCACTCAGTCATACCCATATACATATAGTAAAATCAACTCTCCCTGAGTGTGTATCAATGGTGTTATGATAGGCTCCTCTACATGTTAGGTCTTAATGAAATTCATGGAGCTACTCCCAGGTGACTCTGCCTACCTCACCTCGCTCGTAAAGAAACTGGCTGCTCCTCTTGGTGAGAGCTTTCATTTTCAACTTGGGTAGATCTCGAGTGTTTCTACATATTTCAGTTACTCTGCTGTCTGCTGAGCCGGAAATCCAATTCGTGGCCTTGCGAAACATCAACCTAATTGTGCAAAAAAGGTGAATTACTCGTAAAATGTATTTAAGGTTGTATGTTAAATTGAGAAAAAGAAAAGTGAAGTGTAGATGAAAAAAAAGAAAAAAGTTGTGTGGAGAATCCGGGTATCGATCCCGGTACCTCTCGCATGCTAAGCGAGCGCTCTACCATTTGAGCTAATTCCCCAGACGGTGCCTATAGGAACTCAATACGTAGCTCTTATTGGGTGCGTGTTTGTATAGCGCATCTTGAATACGCCGCAGGTCTGACATCTTGAAGGAGGACATCAAGGTGTTCTACGTGAAGTACAACGACCCAATTTACGTGAAGCTGGAAAAGCTGGACATCATGATCCGTCTTGCCAACTCCACCAACATCGCCAATGTTCTAGCTGAACTGAAAGAGTGAGTCACTATTTCTTCTATCTAATTCCCTTTCTCCGTCTCCTTTCTTATTTTCTTCCCCTTTATCTTCCCTGCCCATTTTTTCTCCTCACTATCTCTTCCCTCCTTCCCTTCTCCCCCACTCTGCAACAGGTACTCCACTGAGGTAGATGTCGATTTCGTGAGGAAGGCAGTGCGAGCCATTGGTCGGTGTGCCATCAAAGTGGAGTCGGCTGCCGAGAGATGTGTCGGTACTCTGGTGGACCTCATCCAGACCAAGGTCACCTACGTCGTCCAGGAGGCCGTCATCGTCATCAAGGTCTGTACTATAATATCATGTTTTCATAGTCTATGGGGCTATATATGTACAGCTATATGCCTACAAAGCAGTATGAATTGTGCAAGTTGTAATATGTATCCACTGATGACGTAATGTTGTCACACCTAGGAGGCACGGGCATGATGTAGAGTGGTAGGGCTCTAGAGACTGCTGGTGTTCGCTCCGGCCATAACTACACTACATTCGTTTTGTATGCTACAGCTTTCATTGTACATGTGCTATGGCCTACAGGCTCAGTAGATCTGCAGGGTGTTTATTATTGAAAGCTGAAGGTGTTTCTGTTGTGTGTTGTTGTTTGCAGGACATATTCAGGAAGTACCCCAACCAGTATGAGAGTATCATAGCCACTCTCTGTGAGAACCTTGACTCCCTGGATGAACCAGAGGCCAGGTATGTACCCCCTCCCTCCATCTCTCTTTCTCAATCCTCTCTGTTTTCTTCATCACTTCCCCTATTTCTTGCACACTGTTCCTCTCTTTTCTCTTCCTCCCACCTTCCCCTAATGTCTCTGTCCACACTCTATCTCTCTGCCTCTTCCCCTCCTCTCTCTTACTTACTCATTGACACCCTCCTTCTTCTCCTACATCGAGAGGGTGCGGAATTTAGTTCTTTCTTTTCTTCTTTTCGGCTAGTACGCTAGAACCACAGAATGTCATTACTGCCCTAACCGCCACCTCAGGGCCTCCATGATCTGGATTCTCGGAGAATATTGCGACAGAATCGACAGCGTCGACGAGCTACTCACAACTTTTCTCGACAGCTTTGCTGACGAAAACTCTCAAGTACGTCTCACAAAACAGTTATTATTTCCACTAAAAACCCTCACATAATAATCCCACACTTCGTAACTCAGAAAACAGTTTTATTTTTCACAACACTCTCACGTAAGATGTCATAACTTGGGCCTTTGTTAGTTGTTGTTTTGGACTGACAACTTTCACTTTACTGGTGATTTTTTTTTAACCCCTCTCTCTCTCTATAATCCCAGGTTCAGCTGCAGTTGTTGACGGCCATCGTGAAGCTGTTTCTGAAGCGACCGGCCGACACGCAGCAGCTGGTCCAGAGCGTTCTCAGTCTGGCCACACAGGAGAGCGACAACCCGGACCTCAGGGACAGGGGGTACATCTACTGGAGACTCCTCTCCACTGATCCCGCCGCTGCCAAGGTCAGCTAGCTCTCTTAATGGGTGTGTGTTGGAGAGAAACCAAAGAAGGGAGGGGGTATATAGGAGGGAGGCAAATCTCTTGTTTCTATGTGTTACGTCTCTCCTCCCAGGACGTGGTGCTAGCTGAGAAGCCCACCATCTCTGAGGAGACTGACCTCCTCGAGCCGGCCCTGCTGGACGAGCTCATCTGCCAGATATCCACGCTGGCCTCCGTCTACCACAAACCTCCCTCTGCCTTTGTGGAGGGGAAGGTCCCTGTGAGACGAATCACTCTCCAGCCAAGGGCCCAGCCGTATGTCATTACACACATACTATCTAGACACCCACCTCAAATAAGCTCATAAATCAAGCTAACAACACGACGTAAGCAACCCAATAAACAGGTGGTTATAAACCAAGCTAATTCGAGAAGCTTGCTGCATTGTTTTAGCTCTTGTATATAACTTGATCTGAGTACCACAAATCTGTCAGCTAAAGCCTTGAGCGATATCACTAAAAACTGAATGCTCTTTCTGCTACATACACATATTATGTCAGTGTGTAATCCTGTGTTCCAACTGCTCCACAGCTCAGCGGCAGAGTCGACAGAGGAGCCAGTGGAAGATGGCGTTGCAGCTCCTCCCCAGGAGCAGGCAGCCGTCATCCCGAGTGCCGTAGAGGATTCTCTAATTGGAGACCTCCTCTCCATGGACCTCCCGTCCACCTCCTACAATGCTCCTCCCGCCAGCGCTGGAGGTACGTTGCAAGTGTAAGAGAACTTTTCACGAGAAAAGTTTGGCGAATGTGGTCAGCTATATAGTTGTGCACCAGTGAGCAATATAAGTGTCTACAAGTAAACTGAAAAATTGGGTTCATGTTACCTTTCTGTGTACTTTGTGTGTATGCAGATGGGCTGGGCGAGCTGGATCTACTAGGGGACCTGTCTGGACTCCAGGTCAGAATGGAACCACGCCACAACCATTACATCATACCAATTACATAATAGAGTTAAACACGCTTGTTTTCACTGTAGATTGGAGGGGGCTATGGAGGAGGGATGATAGGAGGCCAGACTGGTGTTGGAGGTATATTCGGAGGAACCGGGCTGCCCGGCATGGGGGGAGGAATGGGAGGAGGAGGAGGAGGAGGAGGAGGAGGGATTGATCTGTTTGGAGGTCTCGGAGGTCAGGGACCCAATCCAGGGATCATGTTCCAGGGAGGACCCATCTCTCTCCCCAAACAGGTCTGTATAATAGATGGACTTCTATCTGCCGATGATCATGTACCGGTGTTACAACAACTTCCCCTAATCTAAAAACCATTCCATTTGCTCCATCTCTTGCCAACTGTGTGTGTGTGTGTACTGCAGGAGTGGCTGCCCGCTGCCAGGGGTAAAGGAATGGAGATACTGGGGACCTTTGTCCGTCGCGGAGGTCAGATCTACGCCGATATGACCTTCAACAACAAGGCCATGCAAATGATGGCTGACTTTGCCATCCAGTTCAACAAGAACAGGTACAATATAATCAGTGTGTGAGACTTGTGCGTAATGGGGGATTGATTCTCCCTCCCTCCCTCCCTCCCACTCTTCTCCCAGCTTTGGCCTGGCTCCTGGTCCTCTAGCTGTCAACTCACCGCTGATGCCCAACTCCACTGCCTCCACTCTACTCCCCATCACCCCTGGAGGTCTGGTCATGAAGATGACTCCCCTCACTCAGCTGCAGGTGGCCATCAAGAACAACGTGGATGTCTTCTATTTCAGTGTCAACATGCCCACACACGTGCTGTTTAGTGAAGACGGAGCCATGGGTAAGATTAGACTCTCTCCTTTCCTTCCCTCTTTGGTCTTTTGCTCTTCTTCCCCCCTCTCCCCTTTCTCTCTCCCTTCCCCTCTTTCCTTTTCTCCCTTCCCCTCTTTCCCTCTCTCCCTCCTTTTCTTCTCTTTCTCTTTCTATCCAGCCACCTCCCCCCTTACTCTCGCCCCTTCTCAATCCTCCCCTGCCATCTTCCCCCTCCCCCCACCAACTGCTGCACCATTCTCTATATTCTCTCCCAGACCGTAAGGTGTTCCTGGCAACGTGGAAGGAGATACCTCAGAGCAATGAAGTACAGGCATCTGTTGACAATGTCTCTCTTACACCAGGTATGTATGCATGTTTGCACACACATTGTTTCATTGGTAACATGTTGTTACCTTGTCTGGTATGTACATGCTAGTCCTAATGGTATTTGTTTAGACAGCTCAGGAATAACCTGGGGAATTTATGAGGATTTGCTGACAAACGATGCTATCCTATAATGGACAGGAATGACCTTGCACAGGGAATGCACCTTGTCGTGAATGTCATTCTGTCATGTGGGGTTGACAGGACAGCGTGACTTGGCTTGGGCCCGTGAACGGAATGCAGGGCCACATCTATGAATCTAGTTTTTGGGAAGGAAGGATAGTTAATGATATGAGACGAAATATGAATGACAAGAACATGGTATATAGTATTTCCCAAAAACTTGTTGGTGTCTTGCTTATGAAATGAAGGCACCAAACCCTCAGTGCATAAGTGCATGAATAGACACACACTTACACGACAGTATTATTCCGTTTCTGTGCATTACATAATGCCTCTCTCTGCCACACCACCCCTATATACCGACCCACAGACCAGGTCCAGCAGAAGTTGGAGACCAACAATGTGTTCCTGATCGCCAGGCGACAGGTGGATGTGGGCGGACTCAACCAGGAGCTGATGTACATGTCTCTCAAGTTTATCAACAACATCTGGGTCCTCATTGAGGTCAAGGCTGCCCCTGGGTCCACCACTGTGGGGGTAAGGATTCTGATACTCCTGTTCTGTTTATATTATAACGTGTTTTCTGCAGCTTGCCCTCAAGACCTCTGCTATGGATGTAATTCCTGGAGTGTTGGAGGCTTTCAAGTCTATTCTCCATGCCTAGGAACATTGGAACTTTAACAAATTGTTGTGTAGGCTGCATTATGCCGATCGGATAGCGGAGTTCTGTCGTCATAATAATAATCGTTATACAGCTAGTAGGCGTGGCTCCGCGTGGCTGAACCACATAAAAAGCGCACCTTTCACGCGTTTACAACTGCGACTCCGGCAATGGCTTCAAGATATGAAGAAGCAAAATCGTCTGACGCTCACGAGGAAGACAGCCACCACAAGAAGTGCGTTTATTGTGGAAGTGAAGGAAACCTTTTTTCTCTGAAATGTGAGCTAAAACACAAAATATGTCAAAAGTGCCTTCCAACAAATACAAAGCGGTTCGGCTACGAAGAAGACGAAATGTACACCTGTCCGGAGTGTTATACTGAACCTACCGTTCCCTCGCCGCACGTTTGGATTTTTGCCGACAACTCTAACATCTGGATTGAAGCAATGAAGCACGCTAGTAAAATGAAGGGGTTTATATCAAAACAAGACGGCCGAGTGCGAATCGACATCGGCCGCCTCACAGACGTCGTAACTGGTGGTCGTGAAGTTGAACAAGCTACGCTCTACGGCTCGGAGCCACCAAAAGTTGATACCGTTTGGAAGAAGATAAACACGTACAAGAATTGGCGCGTTAAAACTTCCGAGAGGAGCGCCGTTACAGGCAAGGAAAAAGAGGTGGATGCAGAGCTTGTGACAGATGTGACGGAAGTCGCTTGCAATACTCCGCCCCATTTGCGGGGTACAATCATCATCATCAGTGGTGATCGTGATATATGCCCTGCAGTTCAGAAAACATTGGCAAGAAATGGGGGGAAGTACACTTGGAAAGTTGAAATCCATGTGTGGAAGCATGCAACCACTCTATTGGATCGTCTGGTTGGGTTGAACAAGAAATATCCAGGGCGTGTTTTTTGTGACCTATTGGACAATCACATGGAAAAGGTCACGTTCCTCAACCGACAACTCTCGTCAAGAAGGCAGAAAAATACCAGCAATAATTATTGCTCGGCAGTAATTTCAATTAAAAAAGGACAGGATATTGCAAAACAAATAATCAAGAATGAAGAATGGTGGAAGAAACTGGAGGATGCTGCAAAGTGGCCAGTTGAATACAAACAGCCCGATGAAAATGAAGAGAGATATCTAGTGCTTGTTTTCAGGGGCATGGAAGAAGGAAAAGTGAAGGATTTGGTGAAAAATCTTAACAATCCACCAACAGAACAATTCTCACTACCAAGTATTGAACGGTGTGAGCTCTTTTCCATGTTTAAACAAAGAACTCAAAGTGGTAGGGGGAAATATGTTACACGTGAAGATGGATGGACAGAAGTCGTTAAAAGGAACATCAAACCCAGTACAGCCTCTTCAAGTGCAGGTAGCACTAAATTATCAACACTAAAGCCCACTCAGGTGAGAAGTCCAGATTTATTATTGACTGCATCAGCAAAGCCAGCTCAAACAAGAAGTCTGAAGTCAAGAGCTGAATCATGCTGTTCAGGGAAAAACTGCGAGATGGGCTTGAAGTGCAAATTTTACCACACTGATGAAGAACAAAAATACTTCAAAAGCAGAGAAGGAGTTGGAAATAGCCTCAGAAAGACCCGGCAGTGCCCAGATTACCCACAATGTAAGCGTCCTACAAACTGGTGCAATTATGCACATGAAGAACATGATCGGTGGTGTACGAGTTGCCACAACTCAGGACATTTCAGTAGAGACTGCAAAAATCCACATTGTAGCCACAAGAGCCATAGTTAGTCAATTCGTTAATTTTTTAATTAGTGGGTGTGTGAGATACTAATTAGCTAGCACTTTACCCAAGTCATGATTTTACCTAAGTTATGATTTTTTTACCTATAATAGTAACATTGCAAGATTGCAACTTTCTGCTGTTTGTCACCCACCGAGACAATTGCACCATACCGTGCCACAGTCCACAACTGACACTGAGCTCTGTGTCACAGCCTTGAACTCTGGCAGATGTGCTGTGAAATAACTCGTGGATATCCCATAATTAGAATCTTCTGTGGTCCTTACCGTTAAAAACAACAAGTTTAAGGAGGACAAACGAATTTACATAACTCATCAATCCTGGTGGGAGAAATTATAAAAAATAGGCAAGTGGCCGGTTCAGTAAAAGTGGTTGCCACTTGCCATTGTTGAGTACGAGTTAAATGAACATAAACTCTTGCTTGTATTCAGTGGACTTGGAATGACAAAAACCAGGAAACTAATACCAAAAATTCCATGTATAAGTGAAGATATTCGTCACGAAAGAAGCCCTGAAATGTATATTGATTTCAAGGGTAAATTAGAACGAAGCCGATCAAGATCAAACTCTCGTACACCAAGTGAGGTATGGTCAGTGGTAGCCACTAGACACAGCACTCCACGATCTACGCCTGCACTTCTTGAATGTTGCTTAGGAAAAAACTGTGAAGATGGTCTAAAATGCAGCTATTATCACGACACTGATGATAAAAAGTACTTCAGAACAAGAGGAGAAATGGGAAAGGACATCCTTACCGAAAGACACGTGACTGTCCCCAACCCCTCTCACATTCCCTTCCAGAAAAATGTGACTTTGCTCATGGGCCTAATGATAGGTGGTGTACTAAATGCCACAAAAAGGGGCATGTCAAGACAACCTGCACTTCCGAGTGCGATCATCCGAAGCACACTGCTAGACAAATTTCACATGCCCTAATGGAATCAACTCCCCGTGGCCGTGCTGTGCTCTATGACTAATCTGTCGCATTAACCAAATTAGACATTTTAAAGTACTATATTATATTCATTGAGCATTCTTAGTTTTCACATGTGACACACCTGTGTTTAATCATGTGAATGTTATTGCACAATTCTCAACGGGCACAGTGGGAGTTTCAGATTCCACTATTAGCTGCAATAGGAGTACACAAACATATCAGTGACAGTGTGTCATGTGATACCGTCGTGCCGTGCCGTGTTGCCGCGTCACGGGGATAGAATCCGTTTCTATTATTCGTGGTAAGACGCGGCACGGCACGGCGGGACGGGGCACATGCGACATATTGTGAACCTAGCCTAATAGGCAAGTTACACAATAATAATACTGTGTAGTGAAACTGATATACTCAACAGTAATAGTTTCAGACACTACTAATTATTATATACAAGTAAATTAAAAATCCTGCAAATTTAAAAAAAGAGGCATATAGGGATTGTATAAAAAGAAAGGGAGACAAGATAGGGATGGGATACACGAAGCATGGTTAATGAACAGATTTGAGTACGCTGACACCCCAACCCCATCACACAATCCCTATATTGTTGCCCGGTGTGCTACTCTTATAAGGGCTAAAGGTTACTAAAAGCAAGCATTCTTTCACCGTCTCCCTGTTGTTTTAGTAACATTTATACTGCCACATTCCCTTTAATTAAACTCCACTTGGCGGCTAGCTAGCTCGAGATCAGGAGCCAGCGGAAGGGGGCGTGGCAGCTCCTCCCCAGGCAGCCGTCACCCGGAGAGGATTCTCTAATTGGAGACCTCCTCTCTCTGGACCTCCCGTCCACCTCCTACAATGCTCCTCCCGCTCCCGCCGCCACCGCTGGAGGTACTACGTTGCATGTGTGAGAAACTTTTCACGAGAAAAGGTTTGGCGAATGTGGTCAGCTATATAGCATGCATGGTACACATTAAAAATACTTTCCACCAGTGAGCAATGCAAGTGTTTACAAAAGCATTGGAAACTGAAATATTTGCTTTGTGTGTATTTACTCTTTTGTTGATATTTATGTACTTTGTGTGTATGCAGATGGGCTGGGTGAGCTGGATCTACTAGGGGACCTGTCTGGACTCCAGGTCAGAATGGAACCACACCACAACCATTACATCATACCAATTACATAATAGAGTTAAACATGCTCGTTATCCCTGCAGATTGGAGGGGGCTATGGAGGAGGGATGATAGGAGGCCAGACTGGTGTTGGAGGTATATTCGGAGGGACTGGGCTGCCCGGCATGGGGGGAGGAATGGGAGGAGGAGGAGGTGGGGGAGGGGTTGATCTGTTTGGAGGTCTTGGAGGTCAGGGACCCAATCCAGGGATCATGTTCCAGGGAGGACCCATCTCTCTCCCCAAACAGGTCTGTATAATAGATGGACTTCTATCTGCCGTTGATCATGTACTGGTGTTACAACAACTTCCCCTAATCTAAAAACCATTCCATTTGCTCCATCTCTTGCCACTGTGTGTGTGTGTGTGTGTGTGTGTGTGTTGTGTGTGTGTGTGTGTGTGTGTGTGTGTGCGTACTGCAGGAGTGGCTGCCTGCTGCCAGGGGCAAAGGAATGGAGATAATGGGGATCAGATCTACGTTGACATGACCTTCAACAACAAGGCCATGCAAATGATGGCTGACTGAACAGGTACAATATAATCAGTGTGTGAGACTTGTGCGTAATGGGGGATTGATTTTCCCTCCCTCCCTCCCTCCCACTCTTCTCCCAGCTTTGGCCTGGCTCCTGGTCCTCTAGCTGTCAACTCTCCGCTGATGCCCAACTGCACTGCCTCCACTCTACTCCCCATCACCCCTGGAGGTCTGGTCATGAAGATGACTCCCCTCACTCAGCTGCAGGTGGCCATCAAGAACAACGTGGATGTCTTCTACTTTAGTGTCAACATGCCCACACACGTGCTGTTTAGTGAAGATGGAACCATGGGTAAGATTAGACTCTCTCCTTTCCTTCCCTCTTTGGTCTTTTGCTCTTATTTCCCCCTCTTCTCTTTTTTTTCTCCCTTCCTCTCTTTCCCTTTCTCTTACCTCTCCACCTTCTCCCTTACTCTCGCCTCTTCTCAATCCTCCCCTGCCATCTCCCCACCAACTACTGCACCATTCTCTATATTCTCTCTCAGACCGTAAGGTGTTCCTGGCAACGTGGAAGGAGATACCTCAGAGCAATGAAGTACAGTTATCTGTTGACAATGTCTCTCTTATATGCCAGGTATGTATGTATGCCGTGTTTACACATCCGTCACACTATAGTGTGCCATATTTGTAATGCCGCTTAGTGTTACATGTCAGGTAATATTCAGGGGATTTACGGGGGGATTTACGGGGGGATTTTAGAGGGGATTTTCTGATGTGTACTATAGCCACCTAATGACTCTGCACCTAAGAGGGCTATTGTGAATGGCATAAACCCCACTGTGAACATGAATGTGAAGAGGGTGCTATATAATTATGTTGGTCTCTCTGGATTAAAACCTCTCCTTTTGCCTATCTCATGCTACAGACCAGGTCCAGCAGAAGTTGGAGACCAACAATGTGTTCCTGATCGCTAGACGTCAGGTTGATGTGGGCGGACTCAACCAGGAGCTGATGTACATGTCTCTCAAGTTTATCAACAATATCTGGGTCCTCGTTGAGGTCAAGGCTGCCCCTGGGTCTGCCACTGTGGGCGTAAGGGAACACTTGCTGATACTCCTGTCCTTATGTATATTATGTGGCTATGTAACTGTTTTCTGCAGCTTGCCCTCAAGACATCGGCCATGGATGTGATTCCTGGAGTGTTGGAGGCTTGCAAGTCTATTCTCCATGCCTAGAAGACACATTATTGAAAACTGTTGTAGATTACCAATGTAAATTGTAGGGTGTGCAGCTCACTTGTGGCAGTGGCGTATGGCGGGTGATTAGTGCCAAAACTAACTCACTGCTCAACTGTACACCATTTGGTACACAAAGTGTATACACAAACACATGAGTGTCAATATTATGTCAAGAGTGAGTTAGTTTGGCACTATATAATCACCCGCCATAGTGGCGCCTGTTGTGGATGGCTCGTTATGTGCAAACGCTATATACTATACTGACACTCCTCCCCCCACGTATGAGAGCATGAGATCATCACTGCATGCAGGCCAGTTTATAATATTATGGGGGGCGCGCGTTATGCCATACGCGCGGCGGCCATGCACCTAAGCCGCAAAACTGTCGATAATCGATGGCCGTCTGTGTTTACTGCAAAAAGGAAGGTAGCATCTCTTTAAGGTGTAAGCAACACGTTATATGTCAAGAATGCCTTCCAGAGAACATCAAAAAGTTTGGCTACGAGAAGGATGAGATATACACTTGTCCTGAGTCAGAGTGCCGCGTCACTAGATCTACCGCACCGCGAAAGCGGAACGTCTGGATTTTCGCCGACAACTCCAACATTTGGATTGAAGCAATGAAACATACCGCTGAAAGAAAGGAGTTTACGCCTACTCATGACCATCGCGTACGCATCAACTACGGGGTTCGTTTACATCCTGACAACCTGGCGGGGAAGAATCGAGTGGTGAAGGAGGCCACCCTTTACGGTTCCGTGCCGCCGCCGGTTGACACCTTCTGGGAAAAAGTAAGGACGTACAAATGGGTCGTGAAAACCTACGAGAGGAGCTATGTTACTCATAAAGAAAAGGAAGTGGATACGGAGCTCGTCGCTGATGTCACGGAAGTCGTTTGCAAAACACCAGTTCGTCTGCGGGGCACAATCATCATCATCAGTGGCGACCGTGACATGCGGCCTGCCGTTGAAAAAGCATTGGAGAATGGTTTTGAAGTCGAAATGTATATTTGGAAGAACTCCACATCTTTTAGGGACAGTTTGGATGAGTACAGAAAGAAGTATCCAGGGCGTGTCTCATACCAATATTTGGATGACATTGAAGAACAAGCTACCTACCTGAATACGGAGCTGTCCGAAAACGCACAGGTTGACATCTACAATTGCTCTGCAGTGATTTCAATTGGAGAAGGGAAGACTCCGGAGGGAATTGTTGGCAGTAAAGACGATTGGAATGAGCTAGAAACAAAAACAAAATGGCCAGTTGAGTACAGGCTGCTAAAGGATGGTGGTAAAAATAGACATCTGCTACTTGTTTTCCAGTATATGGACCAACCGGATTTAGAGAGTTTAGTGGAAGAGATCAATTCTCTACCCTATGTAGAACACTGTAGACTGTTCACTAAGTCTTTAGAAAAAACAGGAGTCATAGACGATGACGATGGCTTTAAAAAAATTGTGGGTAGAATAAAGCCTAAGAAACCAGGTGCAGTCCAAATTAGTAGCGCTAAACTACCTTCACCTGCAAGAAAAACAGCCCAATCCCAAGTAATGGGAAAATGCTGTTCAGGGAAAAACTGTGATAAAGGGAATAGCTGCAAGTTTGGTCACACAGATGATGATCTTAGATACTTTCGAATTCGTCGAAAGAGGGAAGGAGGAGCTGGAAACACCAAAAGAAAGACAAGTTGGTGCAAGAACATCCTTAAAAATGGCCATTGTAAATTTTCTGACACCGACTGTGATTTTGCACATGCAGCAAATGACAGGTGGTGTGAAAACTGCCACAAGTCAGGACATTTCGCAAGGGACTGCAAAAATGCTAAATGTCAACACCCAAGTCATTTGTAACCATGATGTGAGTCTGTGACAGTAATTTATTTTTAGACGCAATGCATAATATTTGGGGGCAGGAGCAACACTCAAATATACAATGGCTCTGGTCGGAGTTATGGTGATGGTAATCACTTAGCAAATATTATGATGTCACCAGTACACAATTATACAGCTCTTGCCTAACCTATTATGGTTTTGTGTGGCTATTACGAGAAAAACATCACGGTTGTGTTTGCTCGCCAAGTTCTGTAGTGCAAACAAAGGTGACTCGCTCTTTGCTATATATATCTACTGAGTATAATAAACGGTATTAGCCGAATTAGCCATTGTAAGGAACGTTTAAGTATTCATTAGGCATTATTAGTTTTCACATGTGACACACCCGTGTTCATGTGAATGTTATTGCACAATGCCCAACGGGCACAGTGGGAGTTTCAGATTCCACAATTAGCTGTAATAGGAGTAGCTACACAAACATCAGTGGTTCGAGAAGTTTCGAGGAGGTTCGATGTACATGAACCACCCCGAACTAGTGCATAAGCACCCTGCACCAGTGGCAGTGTGTCATGTGATGATACTATGAAATTATCATGAGACTCTGGATTACAGTGGCTAAACTCTTACTATAGTGTTCTGTTGTGCTTGTTTTGTGTGGATGTGAGCACGCGTAGGTAGCGTGGTTCACTTGCAGAATAATGATACTGTGCAGTGAAACTCAACAGTAATAGTTTCAGACACTACTATAATAATATACAATAATCATTAGGATAATACACAGACAGTGGGAGAGTGCCGGTGTGTGCTGTGCTGTTGATATATACTAGAAGTACGACCTCATAACGAGACTTCCCTATGGAGGTCTGACTGTGCTACAGTGGCTACTGTTCAGAACTAGTCGAGCCATGCTCAGAGTTCTGTCTCTCTCCTCTGAGACGACGAGGAAGATGACGATGGTGTTTGGTCGTGCGGTAGGCCTTGCGAATCTTCCTGTTCAACTACTCCCGAGGTGTTTGCTTCTGCAAGCTGCTGCCTCTCCGTTGATGTTCTGCAGAGCTTTGAACTCTCCTCAAAGATCTGGCTGAGCTGAAGGACACAACATCACAGTGGCAAATCAGCACTCTTACGTACTTATGCCAGTGGCGGGTACTGTTACCCTACCGCTCATGCCTCCAACACAAACACCATCTGGACAGCACAAACTGCTATTATACATAGCTACTATATAATCTACAGTGTGAAATCCGTGTGGTCCCACAGTACAGTCAGTCGGCGCGCGGCAGAGTCGATAGTCTTTCGTATGCCCAGACGCTCCGCCCTCTCAAGAGAGGAAAGGGTCTGGTGACTATTGAACAAAGAGCGTTTTCTTTGTTGTGCTGACTGCGACAGTCTACTTTTGAGACACCGAATCATACTTGGCAGTAGTGTTGCCACGACCGTGGAATATCACATGATGTTATGTAATAGCTAGTTTTTCCTACGCAGCTTCGCGTGTCTTGAGGGCGGGTCGCACGAGACTCACTAGTCGACGACGCGGAGGATCGAGCCAGCAAGGGACGGCGTGGCAGCTGCCTGCCCCAGGTAGCCGTCCTCCCGGAGAGGGATTCTCTAATTGGAGATCTCCCCGCTCATCTGACCTCCCGTCCACCGTCCTACAATGCTCCTCCCGCCACCGCGGAGGTACGTGCATGTGTGAGAACTTTCACGAGAAAAGTTTGGCGAATAGTGTCGACTATATAGCATGCATGTACACACAATTAAAAATACTTTGGCATCCACCACCAGTCAGCAATGTCCATGTGTTACAAAAGATTGGACTGAATATTTGCTTTGTGTGTATTGACTCTTTTGTTGATATCTTATATGAACTTTGGTGTTGCGTGCAGATGGGCTGGAATGAGCTGGATCTACTCGGGACTCTGTCCGGACTCCAGGTCAGATGAACAACCACGCCACAACCTTCCAAACATCGTAGAGTGAGCACGCTCGTTATCCTGTAGATTGGAGGGGCTATGGAGAATGATGACTAGAGGCCATACTGTTTTGGAGGTATATTTGGAGGACCAGGGCTGCCCGGCATGGGGAGGAATGGGAGGAGGAGAGGTGGGGGGAGGGGTTCAGATCTGTTTGGAGGTCTCGAGGTCTGGGCCCAATCCAGGGATCTGTTCCAGGGAGGACCCATTCTCTCCTCCCCAAACAGGTCTGTATAATAGATGGACTTCTATCTGCCGATGATCATGTACTGGTGTTACAACACTTCCCCTAATCTAAAAACCATTCCATTTGCTCCATCTCTTGCCACTGTGTGTGTGTGTGTGTACTGCAGGAGTGGCTGCCCGCTGCCAGGTAAAGGAATGGAAATACTGAGGACCTTTGTCCGTCGCGGAGGTCAGATCTACGCCGACATGACCTTCAACAACAAGGCCATGCAAAGTGTGACTGCTTGCCATCCATTCAACAAGACGTACAATATAATCAGTGTGTGAGACTTGTGCGTAATGGGGGATTGATTCCTCCCTCCCACTCTTCTCCCAGCTTTGGCCTGGCTCCTGGTCCTCTAGCTGTCAACTCACCGCTGATGCCCAACTCCACTGCCTCCACTCTGCTCTCCATCACCCCTGGAGGTCTGGTCATGAAGATGTCTCCCCTCACTCAGCTGCAGGTGGCCATCAAGAACAACGTGGATGTCTTCTACTTCAGTGTAAACATGCCCACACACGTGCTGTTTAGTGAAGACGGTACCATGGGTAAGATTATACTCTCTCTCTTCCTTCCCTCTTTGCTCTTCCTTCTCTTCTTCCCCCCTCTCTTCCCTTTCTCTCTCCCTTCCCCTCTTTCCCTTTCTCTTACCTCTCTCCCTCCTTTTCTTCTCTTTCTCTTTCTACCTCTCCACCTTCTCCCTTACTCTCGCCCCTTCTCAATCCTTCTCTGCCATCTTTTCCCCCCACCAACTACTGCACCATTCTCTATATTCTCTCCCAGATCGTAAGGTGTTCCTGGCGACGTGGAAGGAGATACCTCAGAGCAATGAAGTACAGTCATCTGTTGACAATGTCTCTCTTACGCCTGGTATGTATTATATAATTATATATACAGCACAGTGTGTGTAAGGTGCATACCAGTATTATTCCAAAAAATGTAATAAAGTGATTAGGTGGCCGCACAGTCACGCAAATACATTTAAATAGGTCATCCCCTTACTTGCTGACTAGCAGTATACTAGTTGTGAATAGTGGTCTTACGTAATGAATTTCCCCCATTTACATGTTGAGTTAATGACAATGCAAAATTCCAGAGTTGGCGCCGTGTTACTTCACTGCTCTCCTACATACCTGCCCCCCCATAGACCAGGTCCAGCAGAAGTTGGAGACCAACAATGTCTTCCTGATCGCCAGGCGACAGGTTGATGTGGGCGGACTCAACCATGGAGGAGCTGATGAGCATGTCCTCAAGTTATCACAATAGCCTGGGTTCTCATTGAGGTCAAGGCTGCCCCTGGGTCCACCGCTGTGGGGGTAAGGACATCTCTGTTATTAGCCTCGGGGTGCATGTGCAACAAGAGTTACAGTACTTTCTTGATCTGTTAAAAATCAAGTAGTGCCCGTGACTCCACACCTAACGGTTACTTTGATGCTCATTGTTTTCTGTCTACAGTTGGCGCTGAAAACTTCGGCCATGGATGTGATTCCTGGTGTATTGGAGGCTTTCAAGTCTATTTTGCATGCGTAGAGAGATCGTAGATACACTGATAGTAAGTAGTATTCGTCGAATATAGCTTGTAAATACTATCGAACGTGCCACCACCACCGAAAGGAGCCAAAAACTTTTCATAATTATGCACTCGCGCGCGCCCGCATGTCGTACGCTAGTAGCGCTGGGGCGCGGTGGACCGGGAGTGCTTGGTCGGCCGAGGAGACCTGACCGCGGTATGTGTGTAAATGAATGTGGTCGAACAAAAGGAGAAA